TCTACAGCTAATCATGACATCTCCTGTTTTTCATCAGAAAATCCTGCAGAATCTGCCTGAGAAGATCTACAACAGATGGCAGTTTCACAGTATAGGTATGCACGTAACGTTTTTCCACTTTATCAAACATTTTGCACTTGCTTGAATTCTAACCGTTTTCTTTGTAACACCTGACAGGTAGGTGTACGCTTTGTATTTCTTTACACTTAAGGACAAAAAAATGTCACCGGGACCAAGCCTTAACCTTTAATAATGAGGAGGAAATAATTAGTCTGAGAAGGGGATGTAAATGGAAATGCAAATTAACACTTCATTTGAAATGCAAATAAGTAATTGAATTATGCATGATTTCAGTCCTGCACAAAAAAGGAAAACCCTTGCAAGAAGCGATAACCCCAATTATAACTGTTTTTCGTCAGCCGTTGGCAGCTAAACAGTCCAGGTTGAGATCACTGTTGCAGATTTGCCTTCCCCCTCCCCAGGCCTGTAATTTTAAATATCAACACTTATCTTTGGGTGGATGTCCCAGACATATTCACCATTTCTGTCCGTCTGGACCACAAATCCGCGCAGGTTTAAAGCTTCCTCTTAGCCTTTCTTGCACTCGCATAGAATTTTCTTTTCCACACATCAGTTCAGGTGTCACTGGTCAAGATCCAGTGCTGTTATATGTGTACTTCAGCCTGGTTAACTTTTTCTTTCACATAATTTTAAGCGTGCTGTATCCAGAACCGTTACTAATGGAAATACAGCACCTTTTGACATATTCTTTGTGGTGGGTAGAGTAGCTCAAGAATTACATTAATGACTTGGTGGTTTTGGCCTTGTAGTTTGGAGATGCAGGGTCACAGGTACTTCACTCGTACCTTTAAGATGCTGAAGGAAATGTGCACAGCTTTTTGTTATCCTTCTGTCCCCAGCCCACAACCCATGAAAGGGCTTCCGTGTTCAGTATTCTGATGAGAGGACCAGACTAAAGCTCCCTCAGTAAGGGCCTGTTGATCAGGACTTTAAGACACCTGTTCAGCGGTTTGGCTTTTACACTAACAAAACCCGATTCTTAATCTTAATCATCACCTTAGAATCAATATTAGGACCAGTCAAAGTGTTTTCCAGCCCACAACATCCTCAAAAGAGACTGCTGCCTGTCAAGAGCATGTCCTAAATCACGCACAGACATGCAGAGCTCTTCCTCCCGAGATATTTAGCAATCAGAGCGATGTCTCATTTGATTACACTGGAACCAGATTGGCTTCATAAATGTGTGTCGCTGCCAACTCGTGTTAATTTTCATCAGGAAAATATGAAGCCTTGCCACTCTACCCACTAGTTTGTCAAGACCGCCCATCAAGGTCAATTCTTCTGAGTCGAGATGACAGCTTTGTGCGGTTCGTCTCTTTCCTTGTTGTGCAGAAGAAAATCTGAATAGCGGTTTTTGACCGTAGTCACGTTTTCTATCCTCCAGGTTCTATTCTCAAAAAGCTTCTGCACACTGGAAATTCATTCAAAGTAAGTGCCCAATTTGAGCTTTTAAAATCTTGGCACACAAAGATGGACTGAACATATTTTTTTAGTTGAATGGATTGTTAAAATTAGCCTCCTTTTGAATATGCATAAAAATGACCTTTTCTCCCGCTGTCTAGATTCGCTGTGAGGGGATCCGTCTCTTCCTGCTGTGGCTGCAGGCCCTAAGGGACCACTGTGCAGAGGAGCAGTTCCTCATCTTTGCCTGTCTGGTGCCAGGATTCCCCGCTGTGCTCTCCTCCAGAGGGCCGTGCACCCTCGACACCATCATTTACAACCCTTTCTCCAACCCCCCAGATGGTGAGAAAAGAGGAGCACATTACACATTATGTATTCACATTTAAATGACCATAGATTTTATTACATTTGTACATGCTGAGGATTGCCACTGAAATTATGTAAAGTACCCAGTTATAATACTGGGTAGGTTTATTTTCTGTCATTAACTCGGGTCCTTTCTTCCTGCTGATTTGAGCAGCCAAGGTGGTGCCTGAGGAGATCACCCCACTGGTTCCAGCTGTGGCAGGTGAAAAAGCTGCAGATGACCTGACCTGTTATATCCTAGAAATACTGCTTAAGTACATGGTCATCCAGGTAATAACTCACTTTGTGTGACAGCAGCAAGAATAGTAATGTTATCATAACTAACCCTGCCTGCAGGATATTCTTGGATGTGCTTGACGGCTGCTTTACCCCACATGTTGTTGGGGTTCCTTCTAATACTTTTAGATAAAGTATTTTAGTTGAGTATTTCTTTCATCATCAAAATATCAGCTTTAACCCAGCACATTTTATGAAGTCAGCAGCTAAACTATTAATTCCTCTTGTTCTGTACAGTTAGTTCCTCAGACACAAACATTTTCAGTGACTAGATTAAGTTGTGTTATAAAATTTGCGCAAATGCACTTGCATACTTAAATTAAATGCCTTTTATGTGCAAATGCTTTTTCTGTCTTTAATAGACAGCCGTGTGATGGAAGTGCTCAACAAATGTGAACATACTCTGTTGTGGCTTCATCTTTCATTTGTTTTCATGATTGGGTCTCCGTGTATTGTGCCACTGTAAAATAAAAAGTAAATTCAGTTTTTAAGTCTAAAGTTTTTCATCATATTTGGTCTCAGATCAAACAGTTTATGTCTATGTACTATTCTTTTTTTTAATCTTAGAGGAACCTTCATGCTATTGTGTTGCAAACAATATACTGTCGCTGTGATGTTGGAAGCATCTCCTCTCTCTGTAGCCTGACCTTGTCTGCCTTATTGTGCTGTCTGTCTGCCAGGCATCCAGTTTAGAATGGAAGAACAAAGAGAACCAGGACACAGGCTTCAGGTTTCTCTTCACCCTGTTCAAGAAGTACTACCTTCCACACTTATTTCCC